GCGGGACTCTGAGTTCCGGCCGTGCCGCGCGTCCCCACCTCCTCTCTACCCTCGGGGCTTCCCCACCGACCTTGCCCGCTGGCCATGAAGCTTTGGCCCGGAGTTCCTCGCCTCTGAGCCTCACGTCTGCCGCTCCAGTCCCAGCGCCGCTCGACCACAGATAGCACTCCGGCTGCTGGAGCTCCCCATCCTCTCCCAGAGACGGCATCCAGGCGCTCCGGGATGGCGCTCCGCCGGTCCCTCCGGCCGCGCAAAGTTCGCAGGAGGCGAGAGATGCTGCCACAGCAAGTTGGATTCGTGTGCGTGGTGCTGGCCCTGGTGTGCTGTGCGTCTGGCTTCTTTGGCAGCTGGGGTAGGTACTGATACGGACCAGCCCGGGAGTCGGGGGGCTTCGGCTGGGGAGCCGCCGGGCAGCTCTGGGATGTCACCCCTTTCTTCCCAGTCAGGTTGGTCCTAAGGGTTCATAGGGTCCCCTCACCACCAGGCAGGGAGAGCGCACTCGGGAGGGCAGATATCGACGCTTTGAGCTGTGGCGCCTGTTCCCCTGAGCTGCGCGCGGCCCCTTGGGGCTCAAAACGCGGCTGAAGGTCTGTGTTACTAAGGCGAAAGCCTGAACCTCTGGCCCCTTGGCGCCAGAGTTCTGCCCCTGGAGTGCACAGGGAGCGAGCGGCGCAGCAGCGGTGTCCAGGTATGGATTCTCATAGCCTGGGGCGAACGAAACTGAATGCTTTCCATTTTTGCTGAGCAAAGAAGGTTGTACTCCGCATCCCTCGAAAACCCAGATCCTGAGGCTGGGAACTGAGTCTCAGCCCTTCCCTCGCGCCTACTAAAGGGGTGCCAAAGGGGCAACCTGGGTGTTCTGACGCGTCCTCTCCAAACCCTAAAAATGTCGGAGGGCAGCCTGTCCCCTCGGGAGGTTGCTGCTGCGTTTCAGCACCACTTCTCAACTCCTCTCAATCCCCACGGTAGGAGAGCGCTGGTGTCTGGAGCCACTCTCCACGCTCCGCCGTCCAAGAAGGGACTGAGGGATTTGGGATTTGCTTAGGATATGCAAATTTGAGATGGAGAGAAAAAGAAAGTTACAAAAAATGTTTTAGGGTGGAGTAGGGAATGTGAGCCCATTTGAAACCTTCAGAAGACATTCACATGGCTAACATTCCCAATTTTAGTAAGCTGCTGTGACCTTTTAGTATTTTTTAACGTCTTATTTTTATTTTTAAAATATCCTCTAACAAATTTATTTTTTAAATTGAATATTGTGTTTCAGGTGTACAGCAAAGTGATTTGGTTATGCATACATTTTTAATTTTTTCTAACGTTTTTAAAAATGAAAGAAATGTGATTTAGAAACCTGGACATGGGGAATAAGGTAGATAGTACCTTCCTGAGCAGTTAAAAAGGAACAACTTAGGTTTATACTGATTGATAAAAATCAGGTGGAACTTGATTCAACTCTTAATACTGCCTTTCAAAACTCACCTTTTGTGATTTGAGGATGTTAGGTAAAAAAGTGGCTCTTTTCAACAGAAATCCAGAAAGGTTATTTGAACATCTTAATACCTGGAGCTTTGCAATTGGGCAAGTTGGTGAGTTTTCACCCTCAATTACACACCAGCAATAACAAAATACCTAGAGGCACTTAGATGTCAGCATTTTAGAAGAGGTGTTATTACCCAGCTGAAGCAGTGTGCACCTCAGGAGAGGTAAATGAATACTTTAGAGGTCTTAAAGTGAGAATCATTTTTATTTGCAGCATCAGGAAGGCTTTTAGGAGTTTAACTGGGCTTGGTCATTAGCATCCACATTAGTGATCTCCCCTGTTTCTCAGTATGGCCGTTGGACCAACAGAATCAGCATCACCTGGGTGCTTGTTAGTATAGAATCCTGGGTCCTGGCACAGACCTATTGAATCAGAATCTGCACTTTAACAAGGATCTCCGGTGATTTGTGTGTGCATTAAAGGGTGAGAAGCCCTGGGCCAGACCCCATCAACTTTCTCCACCTGCTTGCTGACTTGCTGTCCTTCAGGGCAGGGACACCTGAGCATGTTTACTGGCCAAGAACGTAATGGTCATCTGTCTAAACCTTTGCTGCAGCTGTGAGGGGCCAAGACCAGAGACATCTTGGCTAAGCTCAGATCACATGCTGACCTATCTGGGACTAGAAACAATGAAATAGATCTAGGAAGCAGATTGCTGTAGGTGAGCGGGTGATGTGCTTCCAATCATTGTGTCACTCCCTGCAGATGGCTCTCAATAGTCAGAGCTGTTGCTGACAGAGCTAGATACAGACATGTAAGGCCATTGTGAGAATGCAGGCACCATGTTGATCTAATGGTGTTTGTGCCTTTTTCCCCCAATCCAGGGCACAAAACAGCTTCTGCTAGCAAACATGTTCTACCAGACACATGGAGAAATAGAAGGCTGATGGCACCAGTGAATGGGACGCAGGCAGCTAAGAATTGCACAGATCCAGGTAAGAAATAGCTTCTTCCCGCAAGGCCTTTGGCCCGGCCTAGAGATGGTGCATATGTGGATAGTTAAAGCCAGAGCTGAGAAATGGTGGCTTCGTGAACCTGAGTGGGAAAGGGTAGCTGTAAGGTGTTGAAAGGTAATCAGTTGTGCTGCTAAGCAACTTGATCCAACAACTGAAAAAGTCACATTCAAGAGTTTTTAATTTTCATGTTTTGTTCTTATAGTGCTCTTAAAGGCTCACTGTCCCCCCTACTCCCCAATTTTGTTTGCCTGTATCTTTGTTTTCTTTCCCTTTTGCTCGCTGTGTCCATCTGATGAAGCTCTGAGGGCAGCAAACCCAGCTGCTCTGGCAGAAGGCACTTTGGGAACACCCACCAGGGTTGGACCACCCAGGGTCACTGCAGGTGTAAGACACGCTGGGGTCCCTTCTCTGGAAGAGGAGTTCCAAGCCTGGGAAACAGGTTCTGCTCGCCCTGGGAGGTGATTTGATGTTCCTCTCAGACTTCTCCAGGGGGGCAGAGGCTGTGGGGATGCAGTGATGACATCTCATCTGTTCTCCTGCAAACTTTGCTTAAACTTAAAGGTGAAAATTTTCGGGAGGAGAGTGTACTGGCCAGTGAATGGAGGCTGTCCAGGTCTCAAGACAGGCCAGTCCTGGGTTTTAGCTCTGGCTTCAAAACTTGGGGATCTTTGTGAGAAGAACTCAGTGGGCTGATGTATTTAAAAAGCCCTTCGGGAGCTATGAAGTTTTATTATAGATGGGTACCACTTGGCTTTTTCACCAAGTTGCCAGGCAAGCCGCTTAATCTTTTTAGGTGTCTGTTTACTCACCTGTAAAATGGGCAGAATGTACCTGTCTACTTCAGGGTTGCTGGAAGAATCTGGTAAGGCTCTGTGTGGGGCTATGTTGTAAAAGGAAATAGAAAGCCAGGCCAGAGGAGAAGACTAGGATGGCAGTCTTCCTGCGGCTTAATTTCACATGCAGGTCTTATCCTTTTTATCCATATATTACAGGTCAGGGAACATCTAGGGAGAAGACCTGAATCACTCAAAGTCATAAAACTTACAAGTGGTGACACTGTCACTGGAGCCGAGGCCAGCGTGTTTGAAATGTTTGGTTAGTTAAGCACCTAAGAAGGCCAGGGCTTTCCCTCAAAGCCTGTTTCCTACACCAGCTTCCGATCCCTCAGGATGCCTTCTGAGACATCCACCCGGGACATGGAGGTTTAGGTAAACCTCTAAATTATTCGTCTTCTGCCTACTGCGGAGGGGACTGGGTAGACTTGCAGAGAAGCAGCTGGGATTCCCTTTGAACTCCCATGTCCCCCAGTGACCACTGGGCAGTGGTGCCCTGCCTGTCACTTAACCTCCCGGAGACACTGGAAGTGGTGGATGCACGCACGAAACTGACAAGTGAACATGTGTAAGGCTGGGAACTGTTGTGGGGGCCCCGTCCTCTCACTCCAGGGGCCTGATGCATCAGAATTAGCACCATCCACGTGAGGAACGCTTAGCTACTTTGGGTAAAGAATCAAGGTTAGTGCAATTTCGACTGGTTTCTAGCTCACTGACGCCCTCATCTTGGGCTGGCTGTGTCTTCCTCCTGTAGCTTCTGTGACATCTAGTGTGGGCATGTCTGCTTAAAGAAGGCCCTGTTTCTTAGAGTCTCTTATGCCCCACTGTTGTGCCTGTATCTTTTCTTTTTAATTGACGTATAGTTGATTTATAGTGTTGTGTTTCAAATATACAGCATAGTAATTCAGTTATACATATATATTCTTTTTCATTATAGGTTATTATAAGCTATTGAATACATTTCCTTGTGCTATGAAGTAGGACCTTGTTATTTATCTTTTATATATTTAGTAGTTAATATCTGCCAATCCTTAACTCCTAATTTATCCCTCCCTCTGCCTTCCCCTTTGGTGAACATAAGTTTGTTTTCTATGTCTGAGTCTCTGTTTTATTAAAAAAGGAAGTTCCACATATAAGTGATATCATGAGATATTTATCTTCATATGTCTAACTTCACTTAGTATGATAATCTCTAGGTCCGTCCATGTTGCTACAAATGGCATTATTTCATTTTTTATGGCTGAGTAGTATTCCATTACATACATGTACGTGTGTATATATATGCACCATGTTTTCTTAAACCAATCATCTGTTGATGGGCACTTGGGTTGTTTCCATGTCCTGGCTATTGTAAATAGTGCTGCTCTGAACACTGGGGTGCATTAGAATTAGAGTTTTCTTTGAATATATGCCCAGGGGTGGGATTGCTGGATCATAGGGTTAGCCTCTTTTTAGTTTTTAAAGAACTCTCCATGCTGTTTTCCATAGTGGCTGCACCAAACTGAATTCCCACCAACAGTGTAGGAGGGTTCCCTTTTCTCCACACCCTCTCCAGCATATATTGTTTGTGGACTTTTTAATAATGGCCATTCTGACTGGTGTGAGGTGATACCTCATTGTAGTTTTGATTTGCATTTCTCCAATAATTTGCGATATTGAACATCTTTTCATGTGCCCTTTGGCCATCTGTATGTCTTCATTGAAGAAACATTGGTTTAGGTGTTTTGCCCATTTTTGGATTGCATTTTTTTTTTTGTTACTGAGCTGTTTGCAAATATTTATTTCCCATTCTGTAGCTTTCCTTTTTGTTTATGGTTTTCCTTTGCTGTGCAAAAGCTTATAAGTTTAATTAGGTCCCATTTGTTTATTTTTGCTTTTATTTCTGTTGCCTTGGTATCCCTGTATCTTCAGTGTACTGTTTAATCAAAAATTTTCCACTAACTATGGAGCAGTCAGTCCTATCTGGCAAGAAGACCTGGCCTTGTCCCCCTTACAGGGAGGGAAACAGGCAAAACATTTAGCGATGAGTAAATTTGGATGATGCTTTGTGTTGCCTGTTTCTGGGATAGGATCCTGCACATAGAAAGGACTTAGTAAATATTGGTCAAGTGATGGAATGAAAGTGGGCTTTGAATATTAAGCATGTTAATCCTTACAGTGTTTTTGCAAAGATGAGGAACACGAGGCTCAGAAATTGAGTGACTTCCTAAGATCTCTTGGCTGGTAGGCGCATCCCTGGGTCACATGGCTCCAAATTGCCTGCACTCCCTGCTCTGTTGCACCTGCCCCAGCTCTCTTCCCAGCCCAGGCAGGGCTGAAGCCTAATTTCCCTTCCAGCCTCCTTGTCCCTGGACCATGAGAATATCCAGCCCGCTTTCTATTCCACAAGTATGCAGCATGCACCTGCTGTCGTGTGTCCAGCCCTGCAGGGGCCACTTGGTAGAGGAGTATGAGAAAGTATAAGCGGCGGCCCTGGTAATCAAGGAGCTCACAGCTAAGCAGACGGATTCCTGGTGCAGGGAAGCTCAGTGACAGGGGAGGACTGCAGCGGTCCCCCAGTCAGCAGCCCCACCGGGCAGCGTCAGGGGCTCAGAGAAGGGTGAGTGGGTCGATGTAGTTCTGTGGAGTCTTGGGGTCTAGAACAGGCAGGCCTCTGCTGCAGTGGCAGAAGACCTCTCCAAGCTGGGTTTAGCAAAAGGAATTTATTGGCTCAGTCACTGAAAACGTGAGATCAAAGGTGAAGTATTGTGATTTGGTTTCTGTCTCTGGCATCATCCAGTGCGGGGAAGTGGTGACTACAGCTCTGGCATTATATCCTCCCAGATCCCAAAGTGCTGGGACAGAGTGCTGCTGCTGCGGTGCTTCTGCAGAAGCCTCAGGTTCTGGTGGCTTGGCTTGGGTCCCCTGACTTCCCTCAGGCAACTGCTTGGCCAGGGGAGTGCTGGGACTAAACCAGCTTAGACCTGGCTCCGGCTCCGCCTCTGGAGGGGGAGGACTGAAGCTTCTTCCCCCAACACCAGCACGCCCCCGGGAGTCGGCACTCGGTGGTTTATAACTGTTCACTGTAGGGTCCCGTCCTGGGGCAGCTCCCTCCCAGTTAGCGTTTCAGGGTTGTGACAGGGTGGCATCCAATGGCTGCCCTCTTTTCTACACAGTTAACAGGAGTTGCCCATGAACACCCCACGAGGTCCTCGCATCCTCTGAGGCCTCTGCTCTGTCTTCTTCTCCACCAGCCAGAGGGCTCCCAGTCCTGATCTACCAGATGAGGTCTTTTAGGGATGAGCGAAGATGGAGATTTAAGAATTTCCCTGCTGTATCAACTCCTGGAGCAGAAGCACCACCCACAGTAGGTGGTCAACAAACATGAGTTCACAGTTTAATAAGAACGTTCAGGGAGGGACCATGTCTTATTTTCTGTCTCCTCCGAATGCTCCTATTCACCTGTCAGAGGAGTAGCTTCGTTTCCTAAAAACACAAAGGGGACCCCACTCTTGTCATCTCTTAAGACTTGATGTGGAAAATGGACTGTTTCTCAGCCTGGGGTCATTTCCCCAGATCTTGGTGGTGGTTCTCATTATTTGTGCTTTAGTTTAAGTGCCCCCAACCCCATAATGTTACCCTGTGTTATTTTTATGATGTGTCTCTCCATCTAAAATAATTTATTCATCGTCTGTCTCCCCTTGAGGGCTGCCTTGCTCACTGCTCTGGGCCCAGTGATTCTTAACCCCGGCCACATGTTCACATCACCAAAGTGCTCTTGACATGCCCAGGCCCTCACCCCTGGAGTGTCTGATTTCATTGGTCTGGGGTGGGGCCCCGAAATGGGTACTTGTTAAGAGCTCCCCAGCTGATTCCGAGTTGAAGCCAGATTGATGCTCACTGGGCTGGAGCCCTGCTGCTCAGTGTGGTTGGCATCACCTGGCAGCTTGTTAGGCATGCAGAGCCTCAGGCCCACCCCGGACCTACTGCAGTCAGAATCTGCATCCTAATGGGATTCCCTGGGCGGTTCCCATGCGCACAGGAGGCTGGGAAGCCCTGGGCTAGAGCACTGCCTGACACCTTGTAGGCTCCCAGTATTTGGGTGTCAAATGAAGGCTAAGACTTGGTATAACAGTGATTTTCCTGAAAACCAGTTTGCTTTCTTTT